TTGCGAGAGAACTGAAGACATTTGGCTGATTAAAACCTTTTTTAATGTATATCAATTTTACTGTTTTTTGGATGTGTTTGTTTTACTTAACCTTTGGACTTGTTTGTTTATATCATTCTTTTCGGACATTTTGGTTTCTTTTGTCATTGGTTTGGTGTTTGGGAGTTTCTGCTCCGGGAACCTACAAAATTGATGTTTTGTTTTGTAATTGTTGTTGTTAGAACTACTTTGGTCGATTATTTGTGAATTGCGAATAAACTTGGTATCAAATTTGGAGTTTTGGTTCTCTTGCCTACTTGGGTTCGTAATTTGCGAATATCGACGGCCAGTACTTCAATAGTTGAAATGGGCAAAAACAAATAATTGGACGTAACAATGGGATTACAGCAATTATTTGTGATACTGAAATTGTTCTTCTGCGATTGTTAGCTCTCTGTTTTGTGTTTCCAGCCTAAAGTTTACTTTAGTGGTCTGAGACGATCTACCTTATGAAAATTCATACTTTTAAGGTGACGCCGCAATTCTGACACCTAACGATACTGATTATCAAAAACATCTCAGATAGAAATAGGGTGTAATGACAAAGTTAATGGAGTACAAAAAACGTTTGAAGCGAACAGATGCTTATTTGATTTAAACTTGATTCCTTGAGTTAGTTTTGACCTGTTCCACTTTGTTCCGCCTAATCATACACTGTATTGAGTTTCTGTAGTTTGTGTGTTTCTTCTTTAACGATAGTTCACTCTAGCGAAAGTAACTAATTTAAGTTCCAGTTTTCAATTAAGCATATTCGATTTGTCTAAGTACACACAGCTAGGCTTTGCCAACCACCCATAGGCATTGAAACTTCAGCATTTTTCCGTTTCCTTTTTCGCAGCATTGCATTTGTAGCACACAGCAATGAGGTGTTAACTCATGCATAGACCACATGTGTTTTTGTCTAGACCACAGGTCACAACAACTGTAAACTGATCTCACGGTTATATCAGAATAACCTGTTTAATAACAATTTAGTATGTCTCCATGAATATGGTGCTGCATAACTTTGCAGATTTAGTCTTTTTAGCAACCTTACTGTTACAAATTATTGATTAGGACTGTAAAAATTGCATAAACATACCTTTGAAATAAGCTGTTATGAATAATTTATGCTTCTGTAGTCACAATGTCAAATGTGGGAAAACTGAAGTATCTGTCTTAAGTTTTACCAGATCCGATTGGGCATGGCAGGTACCAGACAATAACGTGCTCCAGAAACATATTTGGATCCATCTAACTGACTGCCTTTTTCAAATCACTATGTCAGCATGCTTAAATGATGTGATAAAAATGTCCAAGAAGAAGGAAACTGTCGACCCGTGCAACGTGACAGACCCATCCCCGTAAATGAAACTAACATAAGGTTTCGTAACATGGAATTAAATTCTTTCATTCAGTTTTGGTATATATTCCGAATATTTACAAAGTCGGATATTTTATATGAAGCTAGGAGAAGTGGATGCTGTAGTTGTACTAATTATTACATCTCTTGATGTTCTAATTCAAAACTCAGTACGTTCATTTGTGGTCATCGAGTGCTGTTTGCTTTAAGTAGAACTATTCTGATAATTCTGAGTAAGCGACTGGGCTGGTTCTAATTATTTTCATAGGCTTCTGTATCCATTGAAAGAGAAAATGTTTTTAAATACATTTTTTCCGTCTAACACACCCCTCTTCAAATGCATACAAGGCAGGTGCTGTAGCGGGCTACACAAGTTGTTGACAGCTTAATTCTGAATTTGATCAGTTTATGATAATTCGGTGTAAAAAAGTTACAATTTCTAGTTTTTTGCTTTCGATCAAACTTTGTCTTCATTGTTCATCATTTTGCATGTTCTTGGTTTGCTAACAACAAGGTGTTGATTGACTAAATGGAGAAATGCAGTAATAATTATAGATTAGGGTCAATGTAACAGTAGCGATAGGACACACTTCTTTTGTACTCATAGTTCTGCTTTGGGTTCATGGGTGGCAAGAGCTTCGGCTATTTAGGAGTTTGATACAAAGAAATCTAGGTAGACTTGAAGGAATCGTATACACAACGTTAAAATCAAACTGTGGATCAGTAGAATGATCACGGTCAATCAGATGTTCAAATATGGAACTTCTAACTGCTTTTCTTTCACCCTTGTAGAACCATGCTCCCGTATTCGAGTTGAAAGCGAGCGTTGGCTACGGCCAATGTACCTTGCTCCACAAGAGCAGGTGAAATGTACTTGTGTGGATATCCCTACGCGATCTTTACCATGTCTAGTCAGCATTACTGGACTCTGGTCACGGATTCGGTATTATGGTCACAAATTGCAAATGCGTCTTCTCTGTATCTTATGTGTAGTAGAAATCGGTTATTAATCGAACTATGTTCATCGTTTTCCAGTTTTGCCTTGAAGAAGTCTGCCTAAATCTGACACAATGGAGAAGCTATTGTAATCTCATCTCTTTGTCAATATATTTCATTGTTAAAACTGAACTGGACACTAGAGGTACAACGTAACAATAGTTCTTTGAAGTGATTTGTCAGGAGACCTAGATCTATGTTGCCAGAATCAATATACTCACATATATAGCACATCGTTTCGGTTATATGTACACTAGAAAACAGAGAATTAACTTCTGGAAGTACAAATCTCCTTAATACGATCAAGAAATTGAAAAGTATCATGAATAAAATAGTTAGATACTTGCATTGTGAATGGTTGCAGTTTTTAAGACAACCAATGAGCGATTCGGTGATTTGGTGAAATTGACATACCCAAATTAGGTCGTAACGGTAAACCAGGTTTATGTACTTCCTGCATTCCAAATAATCGCGGGAAGATTGAACACGTTGAACGTATGTGCTCAAGTAAGTCTGGTGTTATTATCTACTTATTCTTAAAATTTTTAACAACACCAGTTAGTTGTTTTGGAAAATTTAGTATGATTTTCTAGGATTAACCTCATTTTATTCAAATGTTCTTGATCATGTAGTAGCACACCATTTCCTTTGTCAGATTTATTGATGATCAAATTCTCATTTCCTTTCAGTGGTCTAGAATTAAAATTTGATGAATACGTGTGGAAGTTTGCACATGTTCGGTTCACCTGCTCTTGTGGAGCAAGGTACATTGGCCGTAGCCAACGCTCGCTTTCAACTCGAATACGGGAGCATGGTTCTACAAGGGTGAAAGAAAAGCAGTTAGAAGTTCCATATTTGAACATCTGATTGACCGTGATCATTCTACTGATCCACAGTTTGATTTTAACGTTGTGTATACGATTCCTTCAAGTCTACCTAGATTTCTTTGTATCAAACTCCTAAATAGCCGAAGCTCTTGCCACCCATGAACCCAAAGCAGAACTATGAGTACAAAAGAAGTGTGTCCTATCGCTACTGTTACATTGACCCTAATCTATAATTATTACTGCATTTCTTCATTCACTTGTGTCTTGTGTTCTTATTACTTTATTCTTGATTGCTCATGATATTACTTCATGTATTTTGCATCTTTATTATCCTTAAATACCTTCAATTATTGTGACAGAAAATTTTGAAATCACAATTGTATGAAAAAAGAATATTCTTTTCAATGAATCCCCTTCAGATTGTACAATTATTTAGCTAAATTAATAATCCAAATAATGTGGTTAGAGTTTTAGGGAAGAGTATATGATTGAAAATTGTCACGTGAGAATCAAGAATTGTTTTTCATGTAAAATCAAACCAAATCGTTAATGTTGGGGCTGACTAATAGGAAGTGTTAACCTGAGTCAGCTTATAAGTAACATGAAATTGTGAAACGAATATTCATCCGAATAAATATGGTCAAGATGAGATATAAGAGAGTAATGTAATTGCAAATGAGAAACAGTCTAAAACGTGGAATAATATGAATTTTATGGACGGATGAACTTCGTCGAATCGCTTAAGTGTTTCCATCTTATCCACAATCTGGAATACATGCTTAATGCTATGCTTCACTAGGTGTTTGTGGAGTGGTTTAAGAATGGTTGACAACCACTTTGCTACAGCATGAGATGAGAAGTCGTACACTCCCAATGGGAAATGCGGTTTGTGTACCTGCGGTAGTCTGTATAACCTAGGTAAATGGGTACCTACCGGATTAGTTGTCTCCCATACATTTGTTAGAATCACCTGTTGATCTCTGAGCTTTTTTAAGAATCCGGTCAGTTCATTCCCTATCTTATTATCGACACCCATTTTGTCATTCAGTTTCACAAAGTTTTGGTGTTTATTCAAGATTCTGCTCATCTTGTCAATGTAGTCTTTTCGCCAAGTAGGATAGTTCCTGTTCTTTTACCAGATTTCGTGATGACTGAATTTTCGTTATTATTGAGTTTATTGATAGCCTCCTTGTGTTTGTTTTACTTGAAATACTTCTGTAGTTGCATCTACTATTCTTGAACTGATATCAACATTTCAATCATTTTAATACATTCACGTTATAATTTGTTGCCAACTTATTAAGTCAATTGTTATTATTCACATCACATAATGTGGTATTATAATAGTTCGATTACATAATCATGATTATTCCTTGTTCATATGTACTCACGAAACCAGTACTTTAGGAAAAAAGATCATATGTATGTACAGCTTGATAACAAGTTCGTTGAAAAGAAATCTCTTCACTGAACTTCGTGATTTTAAAACTTATCAATTAGTCTGAAGCTTAAAAGTAAATGTTATTTGACGTGTATAAAATGACTGAGAGTCACTTTTGAGGCAAGTAGGAGATATTCTTAACTATTTGAATACGTTTTCAACCAATCACATGACTTACATCACCGTTTAACTTCAATGATCTTCATGTGAATTCCAAAAACCTCAGAAAGACAATCAAAACTCTCAGGGAGATGTAGGATACTTATTGATGAGAATATCTAATACACAGTATCAATATGTACTACACATCAAGTTGTCTGAAATTTATATGGTGTCGGTTTCTTTAAACCGGCGTTTAATCTTCCTTATATGCTGAAATAGTGAATATTTCGATGGAACCTGGACCGGATTGCTTTTTCGGTGCAAAGACACCACCATATGCTTGTATACCGAAGCGAGAGAGTTGAGTTAGATTTAAAGGTGGTGATTCAGGTTTCAATTGTCCACGAAAGTATGCTTTAAATGTTGTAAATGGTATTTTGATTTGTTCTCGTCCACCAGATGTCTGTAAAAATTTCATAGAAAACACATCGAATTATTCTACACAATTGAATACCATATTACCTCGAAAAATGACTCATATGATGGACAAGTGAATATATCCGAACAGTTACCATAGAAGGTCAATTTGAAATTCGAATTTTCACCCTGTCTATGTAGATCAATTACAACACCCGTAAATTGTGACAAGTTCCAAGTATTCAATATGTAGTGGACACCGGCGAAACATGATCCATCTGGTTGTGGATTGAGTAGATAGAAGAATATTCCTGATTGGTAATTCTAAACATTATGTTAGTTAAATTATATGTATAAATGAAACTTACATAAGCAATCAATGGTGTAAGTATAGCTACAGATCGCCCTTCAGGTCGAAATGTATCTGACACTTCAACCCACACATCAAATAAAATTGTTTCAGGATCAGTGAAGTTGAATAGAGTTGAATTGGCCGAGTCATCTAGCTGCATGAGGGATGCTGGTGTGGAATCTTCGTTGAAATCAGGTGTTATTGTGTTATCGCTTGTAGTAAATGATTGTGTGTCATCAGTTTGTGATGCGGTTTCCTCCAAAGCGTTGTAAGTGTTGGGCAATAGAGTTGTAAATATGAAAACAACGACAGAGATATTTCTGATTACCATTCTGAGGTGAAACAGTCTAAAATTCATTTGAACAATTTATCTGAAAGGTAGAGTAGAATTGTGATTGAAGTTCGGTTAAAAAGATGTTATCAGTATAGCACGAGATGGCCGCGCCATATTTTGTATTGGATACATTTATACATTGAAAACCTTGAGTACCGGATAAATGATCTACAGATAGGGTGTTCGAGCAACATCGAAGTTACTGGGTTCGAGTTCGATGTGTGAGATTGTGAATGAGCACTGCCGAAGAGTCCCGTACAGAACGAAACGGTCGTCCTCTGCTTTCACATCTTCAATGTTGGCTTGACCTTGATCGGTTCCTGATCTCAATTGAAGGAATTGACGTACATCCACGATTTATTTTCTCACCCTTTGTGAATGTATTTTTAAGTTTGCGGAAACTCAAGAAATGCACCATTTCAAGAATATACTTTACAAATATAGCGACAGTATTTCGAAGCACTGTATGCTTTGCAAACGTAAGCCACTCAGTAATGTATTACAGTCATTCCATGAATCTTAGTCACCATGACTGCCTTCTGATGGTAATTGATTTGAGCAGCCCACCTTGGGTTTTGCGCTACTTGATAACTATCAGAGAGGTGTACCTGCACTTAGGAGAACTGTTGGATCGAGGTGGATCTGAATTCCATCCACAAGGCTATCAGTTGAATGTGTCAACACTGATCTATTTGAGTAGTAACTAGTTCCCCAAGTGACTGAGATATTCACACAGATCGGACTGAATTCATGTTTGTCTAGTCCACAATGCTGATTGTAAACTGTAATTCCACCAATTTTTATAATAACACTCTAGCTCGGTGTAAGCATCACGACAGCAATAGACCTAATCTCTAAATTTTCTCTTTGTCATGACGTTACTACCCAATCTATATAATTTATCGCGCAAGTCTCAACATTGTCTACAAAGACGTGTTTGACCGTGATCATCAACAATATGACGTCTGCCATTTCTGAAGACCGCATTTGAGCTGGACTGAGAACAATATATTTGATGAAAAAAATAAGCAAGTAGTTATAGAGGGTGATCACTGCATGACTGAGTCATGCGATTCCCATTCATTGTTGGCGCGTACACTATTACTGACTTTCTCTCCTTGTTATAGCACTACAAGTTGACTACCATTTACCATTTAGTACATCGATATCGACTAGAAACTACTGATCTATTGATCAAGTACTGGTCAACTAGATTTCCAAACTTTTCGATTACTCAGTTCAGATAATATATCCGATGTTCATTCTCAATTCTATGTATTTGAGTTGACGGAATTAACGTTCATATCATTTGTATTATTTAACCATTTTGTTGGCCACTTTCACTTGGTCGGATATTTGAAGTTTCCGCATTATGAGGTGAATACTGACACGACTTTGCGTCATACATTGAGAGAATTACTGAGAATCACGTTGATAGATTATCATAAATACTGACGAAAATCTACTAATCATACAATATTCGCTATACATATGTGCAGGGGTCGTTCAACTGGTAGCGCATCGTCCAAGATTGGATTCAGTTAAACAACTGTGAGAGATTGGAGATTAGTGGATATTACTTGTCGTCCTAGTATGAAACTCCAGAGTAGTGTTAAACTATGATCATGTCAAGCATCATGTCGAGTCCTAGCAACTGTGAAAACGAGGTTGGCCTCTGACAGCTCACATTTCTACGCTCGGTCCATTGTCAATTTTGCACTACCATTCTCTACTACGAGTAAAGAACTCCATTGAATACCGGTGACCATTTTGTTTACAGAGACTATACAATTAGTGGATTTGTTATATTCAACTGTTTCTATTACTGCCAATTTACATATCAGTGTGAATCCATGGTTTGGAGGTAAATTTCTAAAAGCCAATGAAACACCAATCAAACACTGAAAATTTGAATAACCTACCTCAAGATTAGAATATTTCGCCTCTTCAACCGATCATATACATGTTTGCTTTTATACTTCCATTTTACATTGAGATCACGAGTATCATGTAATCCGGTTATCATGTATACGATCAGATTTATAATGGCTGTTTTGAGTGGAATACGAAGGTCAGAGGATTAGATAGCGTGGACGTGTGAAACATTAATTCATGACAGGATCAGTAAATAACGATAATAATAACTGAATAAAACTGACACGAGTTCACTAGTGACCCACACACGCACACAAGAAGGTGAATGATCAGGGTATCAGACAAATTACATAATTGCTATGTGACTTAATTAAAGTAGATTAAGGACGGCAATTGTTACTGCTTTACACTCTACTTTACACACTGATTTGAGATAAACATCCATTCGAAACTGGAGAGCGTTGAACCGCTGTTTTGTTCAACTATGAGACTTGTCAATGGTGTGCGCTAATGACCTCTCTGATAGCTGGAATTTTTAACATCAGATTTTGTGTAAAGCGCCTAACCCCTAATATTCTGATCCGACATTTAACAGTCTGAACGGTTATCTTCAGTCAGTTCGCGATGTTGAGATAATCGATAATAAAATCTATAAATGAGAATGAACTGGATGGTTTAGTTTGTACAGATTAGTGTGACTATTTCTTTGAAATACTGAACTCGGTCTTCAACCTGATTGTCTTCCATTATGAGCAGAAAAAGTCATAGGTATAAAGATAAGTGTGAAAGATGTATTGTTTCAGTGAGAGTCTTTGATTTCTGTACAGACTGATGAGTGACATTTACATGAATGCGTTCATGATTGTGATTCAGATACCATACACTCCTGTATTAACATGGTATTGTTCATTTGAGTGAGTAGTGGTTAATTCATGATCACTCGAGTATGTATTGGATAGATGTGAGAATTACTAGTTTTTACATTACATTACAGTCGCTTTCAATATTTCTAATAATAATACAATATATTTCTGCAAAGGCAGTTACACACCATTTTCACAGGCATGATCTACAAGTTACAACATAAACTAGTTCATAGTATGCATCCCAAGCAAGCTTGTTTAGTAATTATTATCTATAAAAGTTGATAGCAGTTCTTTCGTTTAGATATAATGTGTTTTCATCAGAATATTTTCCAAAGGGGCATCGCGTCCATGTTACATGCCAGATTCAATCTCGACAAAAAGTGAATTAGGGTTCCGGTCGTGCTAAGTATTTATGTAATGCAGCTTTTTAAGTTTATAGTTGTTATAAAGTAGGCCTGTGGAGAGCATGGTTTGAACTATGACCTTGGGAAAGCGCGTTCGTGGAGCTTGTTCCAGATGTCAGAAGTTACCTAGCTTCACCCCCCAGAGCAAGATTCTGAAAAGAGAAAAACAAACAAACGGAGAAGCAGTAAGGCATTTGGATATGAAAGATAACCAATGCTTAACATTTAGTAATGGAGCAGTCGGAGGTATGAGAAATTATTAAATGAAATTGATAGTAAACTAACGAGAATCATGCGGGTTTTTAGATAGTTCATGTTATTGAATGATGTAAGGAAAAGCAAAAAAAAACGAAATATGGAACTTGTTTAGTAATTACGTATCAATACCAAGGTTGACCATCAGAGTTTCGAATAAAATGAGCATTATGTAGAGAGTTGATAATAAATAATAGTATTTGCTATATCACGATGAGTAGGAGAAATGCATTTTTGACGATTCGTGATTTGATGTAAATCACTTCTTCATAGTTAATTAATAACCGACCTTAAATAAACACATGTTTAAACTCTAATTAACACTCCACTGCCATGTGAATTGTGATAGTATACTCATTAGCACTCATTGTGATGCCTCGTAAGTTTGTAATGTGCTTATCTGTGATGAAATTACCAGTCTGCATAAATGACGAACTTACTTGTGACCAATGCACTGACTATTCAATGTTCCGATTGTAGATATGGAAACGTTGGAATTTGGGTAATCTCTTGTCATTGAGACAACTACATTTACACGATTAACGGGATAGTCAATGACAAAACAAATCCAAGATAAATCCTACTGAACCACTGAACGTAAAGTTAATAAATACGATATTTTACTCGATATGTTTGTCTGAATTCTTATTTCTATTGTTCATTCCATAGAAAGAATATCACTGAATGATGTTGATTTTCTATCAAAGACAAGAAACTTTGAGGATGAAGTAATTATGGTTATGTTGTGAACTACAGAGGTACGAGTTTAGCAGATTTCAGCACATTTACTCTCTTGATGGTAAGCAATACATACAGATACGTCATCTAGACGTTTGTAACCGGATGTCAGTGTACATCGATCGAAGACAGATCAAACCAGTAAAATGTCTGCATACATAACTGTTTGAGTGCATTTTACAGGATACGAATATCCTATCAATGATGAGGCTATAAATTTATCTGATTTCTGAAACTCCACTGTTATCGAATTCATGTTAAAAGTAGTGAGCATGCCTATTTAATGAATAATTGTTATACCTGTGGTAAAATATCTGACAAACCAGTTGTGAAAATCGATATAGTGAATACCAGTGAGATAAACTGTATTTATGGAAAATATAATCATTTGGTACATCTGAATCCTGAAGAGTTGGTAAGATTGGTGATATTCAATCTCTGTTTCGCATTACAATTCATTTGACCATATGTTTTCTTAAAACTCCTTATTCAGCTTGTAGAAGAGAGATGAAAATAGTATGAACGAGACATCAGCGATTTGAGTATACTATATCGACCTGTTAATATAAGGAAATAAACAAATCTGTTTAGGACATCGTTTTGTTTCTCTAACTAACCAGATTATTTGAGATGATGCCTTTATGACTTCACAAAATAAACAAAGGATGTATACTAATTCGTTATTGGTTTTTATGTCCGGCTTTAATTCACGTGAATTATCTAGCAATGGAAATACGACTTCTCCGACCTTAACACTGTGACAATCAGTGACGTTCGATCAGTATGAGTAATTAAGTGTATTTATTGGTTCTTTGTCCGCCTAGTCCTTCAAATTGAGTGCAGAACACCAATCACAGCTTTTGGTGTATAAGAAGAGATTAAAATCATCCTGCGATTAGTCTGACTATTATAGCACCTCAATGACTTATGAACTACAAACACGAGAGAATGAGGCTGGCTTCAGACCTGGTCGTGGCTGCAT